CATAAGTATTTGGATGTCTGCACATCTTGCCCAACAGTGGTTTTACACATGCATGTCTTTGATAATAGATACTCTGTTATTGGTTCTGGGCTGCCCTATGTGCAGAGTGGAACCCAGATTTGTAGTCCTGGTACTTGTGAATTCAAACTGCGAGCCTGTGGACTTAACCAGGGAATTTAAAGCCATCCTAGTGCGTATAAGATGAGTCTTCCAAACAATGAATGAATGAAAACCCAAAATCTCTGTAAATGTTCATTAAAACTAATAAAATTTAGTAATAATAATAATAAAAAAAGATGAGTCTTCCATTTTGTGGGATTGACTGTCATTTGCCTAATGTGGATTTTGTTTACATTTTCCTAGTGGCTGATAATGCTAAGCTTCTTTTTATTGCTTGTTGGCTGTTTATATATTTTTTGAGAAATGTATCTTTCAAGTCTAAGTTCAGGTTTTTAATTGGATTGTCTGTCTTTGAATTGAGATACAAGAGTTCCTTATATCCTCTACTGCTCTACTCATAGAGGATATGATTTTTAATATTTTCTCCTGTTTTGTATATTGTTTTTCACCTTGATAATGTTTGTTGATGTACATGAGGTAGTTTTTTGTTTTTGGTTTGCATTTAATAATTCATGTATGTTTTTAATTTCATGTACATTGTTTTATGCAGTCATTCACATTTATGCAGCCATTTATATATATATATATATATATATATATATATATATATATATAGTTTTATTATTTCATTAGTTTACATTTTGTTTTATACAATCATTTTTATACATTGGTATTTTTGTCATTAATTACTATTGATCTATATATACTTTCATCACCTTGTCTCAAGGAGTCCCCATTGCACCTTGCCTCTTTCTTCACGTCCCCCAGCCCTCACTAATCTCTGCTGTCTCAGTGATTTCCTCTCCCTTCTCCAACACTCTAACACTTACACAAGCTTGTTCTTGTTTGTTAATTGCAGTAGCCTTTTGTCCTTATCTCACTTCTTTTAGATTGATCCTCCTTTTTCCTGGTCCTTCTATCACCACCCCATTCAATATTGTATTGGAAGTTCTAGCTAGGACTATAAGGCAAAAGAAGGAAATGAGAGGCATCCAAATTGCCAAAGAGGTGATAAAACTGTCAGTAAAACCCCAAACACTCAGTAAAAAAACCTGATAAACCTAATAGAACAGTTTAGTAGAGTGGCAGGATACAAAGTCAGCATATAAAATTCAGTTGGATTTTTCTACAACAACAAAGGAAGCACAGAAAAGAGGTTTTCTTAACAAATATTTTTTCTTGTGCTTTGCATGGCCTGTCTAAGAACACTTTCTCAAATCCAGTGCTTTGAAGCTTACCTTCATGCTTTCTCAGAATTTTATCGTGCTCTTATTTTTAGATTCTTGGCCCATTTTGGACTAATTTTCATGTGTGGTATGGTCCAGACTCAATCCTTTTGCATGTGGAATTTAAGTAATATCCACGTTATTTGCTAGGGAGGCTTTCCTTTCCTCCTTGAATGAATCGGCCAGTGGTCGAAAAGCAGTTGGCCACGAACATACACATTTATTTCTGGATGCTGTTTTATCCGTGGAGCATGCCTCTATCCCTAATAATGCCAGCACCACACTGCTTTTATTATGGTAGCTTTGTAGTTCATTTTGGAATTGCAGTGTATATGAGCAAAAGTTTCCCAAATGTTGAGTCATTGGAGTCTGTTGCAGTACCATGTGATTTTGACCATCAGTTGTTGCTGTTGGAATTTTCACACTGATATCTAATGTCCTTTAGGCAAATATTTGCCTTTGTTGTTTTGCGGTTAGGTGGTGTGGACTTGGTATATAGTGACTTTCCATACAGGAAAAAAGCATGAAACACTTACTTGATTTACAAAAAAAATTGTAACAGTGGGCTCAAGGTTCAGAATTGTTCTTAGGGTCTCTGTGAATCATACATAGTCAACTCAGTGGCACCTAACACAGTACTAAAAATAGGGGCCTCTGGTGGTGCACCTGAGTCAGGCTGTGGTCTTTTCAGTCACTTGCTATGCGTCTGAGAGACAGTGTGGGTAAGGATGACAGAAGAGTGGATGTCTTTGAACGCTGGTGTTGGAGAAGAGTGCTATGAGGAGGGAATTGAGTGTCTCCTCAGCCCGGTCCATGGAGGGAGCAAAGTGTTCCTGTAGACCTATGATAGATGTATGTGTGTTCGGAGACACTGTACAATCTTTCAGGATGTAAGCAAACATGAAGTGTGTGTCTTGGGCGACTAACCATCAGGCAGAGAGGAGCAGTGCCTGGATCCCTTCTGCTCTGTACGTCCATGTCCTTCAGTTTACCCGGCCCCCAGCAGAGCACCTTTGGGCACATCCCTCAGTTGGATCAGGAGGACGTCTCCTCTTGAGACCAGATGTTTGTCAGCTCCTAATAGTAACAACGGCTGTTACGGATGATGTGGAGAGTAACACTGATAACTCTGTCATACACAGTTTTTCTTGACAGTTCAGCTTAAAACCTGCTGGAGCCATCTTGATTTCCTTTCTCATCCCAGTTTCCTTTCCCAAACCTTGCATCTCTCAGCACTTTAACATCAAAATTGTCTGTCACTTGCACTGTAATTGTGTTTACAAGTTCTTCCACACTTACACTGGGGAACAGGTAGGCCAGAGACTTGTTTTTAGGATGTTAGGTGCTGTGGAGCTGAGTATGAACCACAGATCTGAACCTTGTCCTTTGCTGTGCCTCCTTATCATTTCTGACACTCCAAAGACGAGGAGACCAGTAGCCAGTAAAGTACCTGTTAGAAGTAAAGCAGTGAGGCGAGAGATAGAGCCCACTGTTACAGTCACTGTGCGGGTCATCTTATTCAAGGTCGTATGCAGTTCCATTGACCTGTCTGCCTTTCACAGCATGATGTTCTTCTCCAGGTCCTGGTCCCTCCCAGGAACATGCCCAGAGTATGTGAGATGAAGTCTCACCATCCTCGCCTCTAAGGAGCAGCCTGGCTGCACTTCCTCCAAGAAAGATTTATTTGATCTTTTTGGTGGTAGTGGTGGTGGTTTGTTTTTTTGGCAGTCCATAGGTTATTCAGTATTCACTTACACCACAATCCAAAGGCTTCAGTTGTCCTCCTTTCATTTCTATTTCTTGTCCAGTTTTCAGGAGTGTTGAATATACCGTGGACTGCTAGGAAACAAAACAGGTTTGTCCTAGAGGGGGTAAAACCAGGCTGCTCCTTGGAGGCAAGGATTCTGAAGCTTTGTCTGACATGCTTTGGACACATTACAAGGAGGGACTTGTCCTTAGAGAGGGATGTCATGTTTGGGAGGGCAGAGAGACAGCACAGGAGAGGAAGACCCTCAATGAGATGGATCAATTCAGTAACTGGGGTATTGAGGGTAGGTGTGTCAGAGACAGAAAGGTTGACAGAGAATAGAGCAGGGTTTAGGGCTCTTGTATATAGGGTCGCTGTGAGTTGCAAGTGACTTGACTGCACAAAGCAACAAGCAATTAAAAAGACCGTGACTTGGATTAGGTGCACCTTAGTCTTTAAATCGGTATCTGTTCTTCAGCACATTGATTGGACAGGTCCCTGGCAGCAGATTTTCTTAATGCAACATGCCTTTTGATTTCTTGTCTGCTGACTCCAAAGATACTGATTGTGAATCCAAGCAAGATGAAATTGTAGTTGACTTGGATCTTTTTTCCATCTGTCATGATGTTGCCTATTGACCCAGTAATGAAGATTTTTGTTTTCTTGATGTTGAGGTGTAATCCGTACAAGAAGGCTGTATTGATCTTCGGCAGCAAGCATTTTTACATCTTTAATTCTGCTTGTTCCTAGGTATTTCCTAGCATCTCTTAGATGCTATTAAGTAGAATTGCTTTTCTAAATGCTTTTTTAATTCTTAATTAGTGAGGATGGCTTAGTGGTAAAAAGCTGTGCTGCAATCCCAAAGGCATACAGTTCAAATCCACTAGCTGCTCCTTGGGAGAATGATAGACATTCTCCTTCCGTGCATTTACTGCCTCTGAAAATCCACTGGAGGGTTGGCAGTGAGTTGGTTCCAACATAATAACAATTAGTGATACAGATTGTTGTTGTTCATTAGCTCCACGAGCTTTTTTCCAACTCTCACTAGAACTCATTTTTTCCCAGTTGGAACTTTTTCAGAGCTGAAACTCCAGTGGGTTTCAGAGAGTGAGTTTCCCCAAGGAGCTGCTGGTGCCCTGCTACCAGGTCTCCATGGTGATCATCACCTCCTTCCAGGTCTGGCCCTGGTTCGCCAGGGGCATGCATGTGGTCTCGCAGCACCTTGGAGAGGGAAGTACACAGTGGTGGATGGCGGTGTACTTTATTTTGTTTAATGCCTCTGTGTTCACAAACACTGTGTTCCTTGACATGTATGTGGATCACTCCATTCCTCTCTGATTTCCTTAAACAACTCAAGTTTGTGAAAGTAAAAAAAAAAAACCACAAGGAGACCAAAGAACCCTAGCTGGAAGGTGGGGACTGGACAACACATAGATGGGCTGCTTTCTGTCTTAGAAGAGATCAAAAGTAGGCTGGGCACTCCAACAAAATAAGCTATGCGAATTTCTTTTCCTTGAAGCAGAGAGGTAATGTTCGCACCATGCTTCCATCTATTCATTGTACAACAGCATTATGGAAAAGTTGTGAGTTACAGATGTGACACATTACCAGTTACCTGGGGAAAATGGCTTATGATGGAATTCTCTTTGCTTTCAGGTTGGGCATGGAGCAGACACTGAAGAGGCGTGTCCTGAGCAGTCTGTTTCTGTGGAGAACTCCAAGGGCAGGACCTGAAAACACCCCGTGAATTAGGCCAGTGTCCCATCTCAGAAGACGGACAGTGTCCACCTTACTCAGCGCCGGGCAGCGGGCCCTGCATGGGGTGTGCGTGAGAGACCTCAGGTTCAGTGCAGATCTTCCCCCCCAGCAAAAATTGGTGACCCTGGAGAGGATACCCGTCCAGGGTCATGGACAGGAGGGCCCCCTTTGTGAAGGGCTGCATATTCCGTGTGTCAGGAACAGGCACCTGTGAGGAGGTTGGGATGGACTTTCCTGCTTCTTCGGACCTGCTCCCGCGCCAGCCCGCGCCCAGCAGGGAGAAGCTGCCCGGTGACATCCAGTGTGGAGAGACCTTCCATGCGGAGGGCAGTCAGTACCAGTGGGCGGAGTGTGGGAGCACTTTCAGCCATGAGCACTCACTTCTCCAGCCCCAGAGCTTCTGCAGTGGGCAGACACTCTACGACTGTAACAAATGTGGGCACCCCAGCAGCAGCTGCAAGTGTGGGCGTGGCAAGAGACAGCGAACTGCCTCCCAGGAAAGGCCTTACGAGTGTGGCATCTGCGGGCAGTTCTTTGGCCAAATCTCCATTCTTGTCAAACACCAAATAACCCACAGTGCAGAAAGACCTTACGAGTGCAGCGAGTGTGGGAAGACCTTTAAGCGTACCGCGGAGCTCATCCGACACTGGAGAATTCACACAGGAGAAAAGCCTTATGAGTGCAGCGAATGTGGGAAGTCCTACACACGCAGCTCCAACCTTGTGGAACACCAGAGGAGTCACACTGGAGAGACTGGCTATGCACGCTACACGTGTGGCATCTGTGGCAAGTCCTTTAAACAGAGCTCCAAGCTCACCCTGCACAAGAGAGTTCACACGGGCGAGAGGCCTTACGAGTGTGACCAGTGTGGCAAGTGCTTTAGCCAGATCTCCAACCTCATGCAACACCAGAGCGTTCACACCGGAGAGAGGCCTTATGATTGTGCTGAGTGTGGGCGCTCCTTCAGCCGCCGGTCCAATTTCATCGAACACCAAAAGGTTCACACTGGAGAAAGGCCTTATGAGTGTGGTGAGTGCGGCAAGTTCTTCAGCCGAAGCTCCATCCTCAGTGAGCACCAGAGGGTTCACACCGAAGAGAGGCCTTACGAGTGCAGGGAGTGTGGCAAAGCCTACCGACGCGTCTCCAGCCTCATTGAACACCAGAGGGTTCACACAGGTGAGAGACCCTACGAGTGCAGTGATTGTGGGAAGTCCTTCATCCGGAACTCCACGCTCACTCGGCACCGGAGAGTCCATACAGGAGAGTTGAGCGGCGAGTTTGCCGGAGATTTCAGTGAGGAGTACACCGACGAGTTTTCTGGAGAATTCTCCTTGGAAAATGCACTATGAGTGCTGTGGAGGAGCACAGCCTTCAGCCAGTTCTCCAATGTCATCACCAAAAATTTCACACCGGAAAGAGGCCTTATGAGTGTAGCTAATGTGGGAAAGCCTTCAGCCCCAGGAAGTGCACCCAGAAAAAGACTTCAGCCCTGCAGGGCATGTGCTGTCTAATTCATCATTAATATGATAGACTTTAGGCAGCGTGAAGGTGAACCCTCTCTGTCTGAAACCCGCCATGGGGAAACCCCTCTGAGTTTCTGGTGCCGGAACCTCTCAGGACCTGCACCGTACTGTGTAACCTGCCTAGGCTCTTGCCAGAATCATGTCACTGCCGGTTTACATGGTAGAAGCCATCGCACCACCACCTAGGAGGTCCCCCACTGCATCAGTCAGCACACCCTTCTCAGGAATGGCAGGCATCATGCTCTCTTCGCCTACCCTGGAGGGAATCATGACAAGTGTGAACCTTTAGGGCATGGACTTGATTCCGTTTTGAGCAAGAGAACCTGGTCTAAGTTCTGCCAGAAGTTTCCTTTTAGGGTTCCTCCTCTTCATGGCAATCCTGAGGTGCTCCTGATTTATCTTTCCAGTCAAACCACCGATCAAGAAATGCTTCCCATCCATTGCTTTGTGCACTGATGAAGGCCTTATTTCAGCCACCTGTGATGTTGGGGGCTACTATTTACTGTAGGTTGAATATAGACGAGACTGCTGGTAGGAATAGATGAATGGATTCTCTTTGTGCCCCCAAACTGGTGTTCCCCATCACGGACGTGTGATGGCAGAGATGAGTTCAACCACTAGCTGGGGCTTCGTGTGCTTTGCTGCCCGAGTCTCCTAGGAAAGACTGTGGGACCTCAGGGTCCTCGTTTGTGTCCTGGATGCCAGGATATATCTCAGCCCCCAATGTTGGTTTGAGAAGGGGTTGCTGTTGTGACCACCTCCAGTGCTTTTGAGGACAGCAGGAGTTTGGCTTCTGTTCCCCAGGGACATCACATAATATTTCCTTGTTTTGTGACTAATCTCCAGGTCCCGCCAAAGGGCTGTGTGCTCAAGATTCAGCCTCCTTTACCCTGATGCAGATGAATGGTACAAAGACTCAAAGAGTGTCATCAGTAGGGATTGGGGGTGCTAGGAAGCGAGAGGCCTTGTGCGTCCTCTGCACATGTGTGAACACAGAGATGACCACTGCACACCACTGGCACTGCACAAATTCTTAGGGACCTCTGGCCTCTTCTCTCCCCTGGAGTCTGGGTGATTAGCAGATTTAGCACTCTGAATGGTTTCTGGGTTCTCACCAGGCCACGGGCCCATTGGCACAGCTGGAGAGTGAAGTCAGAGGTGTGGAGATGGCGCTCACCTTGTGGTGGGTATGACCCGGCCACCGTGTCCATTGCCTCAGGTGCAGTCATCTTTGCCGCCTCTGATTCAAGGTTGTCCTTCCCAGGTGTGAGGAAGGCAGGCATAGGTCAGGAGAGATGCCTGGCCTGGTTTTCTGAGGGAGATAATTTTTTTCCCCTTTAGTTTTTAATTTTGAGCTCTTTATAAAGGATGCCGTTATAATTGTTAATTTCGGCATAAGTGTGAAATGTGTGAAACCTTCCTAAAGCATGATAATGAACACACCTGTCAGCACTACGTTTTCTCAGGACCTCTGGGAACCTCCCGTTTCTTCCCTTCCTCCAGGCAAGCGCCTGCTGCATTCCCCCCCCCCCCAACTCTAGATTAGTTTCTATTTTGTAGAAGTTTCTATGACTGAAAACTTAAGATGCTGGCGCTCCCTCCTGTACCCTGGTTTTCTTCATATACCGCATAGTTCATTAGAGATTGCGTGGCATCGCTTACGTGACTCTTAATTGCTGAGTAGTAGTCTGTTCTGTGTACATGCCACAATTTGTCAGTCCATTTCTCTATTAATGGACATTTGTTTCTGGGTTTGGCTGTTACAAATAAACCTGTTCTGAACTTGGGCGTAATGGTTCTCTGTGTGGGCCTGTGCTATTCTTTCTACAGTTCCCATCTTGAGGTAGGAGGATGCGTGTTATTCTGAAGATTGTGCTGTCTTGAGCTGGGTTTTCTAAAAGAAAAGCATTAGAGCTTTTTCTAGAGAGCATGATTTAGCTCATTCACTTGCAGGAGGGTCATACTTGGAGGGCAGTGTCTTGAGGCTGACAAGACTAGGGTTGCCAGATTTTGGAGGCTGGTCAGTGCAAGGTGAGCAGGTAAGGCAGAAGTGACAAGATGCAAGATCCAGGATAGAAGACTAGCGAGCTGCAGGCCACACCCTTGGGAGACTCGACTCCTTCAGACCAGAGACTGACCAGAAGAAGGGCACCACAGCCCACCCTCATCCTTTTCTGTTGATCAGGGCTGACAGCACTAGGCCATGGTGTCATCGTGCCACATCACAACCCCTAATCCCACCTCATTTGACATTTAAGCACTGACAGTTGACTCAGCTTGACATTGACTCATGCTAAAATTCCATCGTCTTTCTGAGACTGTGAATCTTTACTGGAGGAGATTGCAACCTCTCTCTGACAAGGAGCAGCTGATGGATACATACCCATCCACCTTTTGTTGGCAGCCTCTCCGGTAACCCCACCAGAGCCCCCACTGGACCAGAGCACATTGACAGTCCTTGGAGTCAGCACCGTGGCAGGGTGGTCATATAGTATTAACCGTCAAGGCTGCCAGTTGCTGACCGAAGATGCTCACATCCTTTGCTCTCATTTCTTCAGGGGGATGTGAGGGATCTCTGGTGGCCAAGTTGGTAAGGGATGGCACTGCCAACCCAAAGGCAAGGCAGATAGAATCAAGCCCTGGCCCTGAGGGAGTAAGATGGCCACTCTGTCAGGTGATTTTATAGCCTCTGGAGGTGTGAGTTGATTGCAGCTCAACAGCCATGAGTTTTGGGGGATTGATGACTTTTTCCCCTTTAAAAGTGTTACTGTTGTGTCATGGTTCTAGGTTTAACTAGTGGAAAGACAGGTGATTCTTGCTTGGGATTGCCCAGTGATTGTACAGAGATGGTAATGCCAGCTGATTACAGCCTACAAAATCTTGGGCTGTTTGATCACATGGGATTGTTACAAGTGGCTAGTAGCTGGTCCCAACAGCAATGCACTGTTTTCACTCTTGTGCGGGCCCTGGGTTTTGACAGATGTAGTCACTTGGCCACCATCACTCTTCAGAATCATCTCCATGTGTTCTGAGTGCATGAAGTACCAGCTGAAAAGTCCCCAGGTCTGGAACTGGCCTGCTGGGTGGGAAATGAGTCCAGGGCAGAACAGGCCTGTGTGTGAATCTGGTGGGAGACATTGCATTTCCCTGGGGTTTAATACTGTCATCTACGAGGTAAGTTCCCACTTCACCAGGACGTGAGGCCAGAACAGCAAGCATGTGAACGGATGCCCCATACCTGATGGTTCTGCTTCCCATGGACCAATGAAGCTTGAGCCCAGGTCCCTGTGGTATCCCCACATTCCACTTCAGAAGTGACCCTTCAGTAACTGAGAAGCACCTGAATGACTGTGAACTCTGAATGCCTTTCTGTGCACAAAGGCAGAGCGGAGGTGCCATGGTGGTGCCTGAGGAGAGGCAACAAGGGACCCCTCTCCTCATGCAGGATCCCTTAACGTGGTAAAGAACTGAAACTCACATTTAGATCAGAAGAGATCGCGGCCAAGCAGCTCAGAGGCCACCAACCGGTAAAGGACGCACCAGATCTGTCCTCCCCAGTACTGCTAGCTCAGGATGAAGTCCTGTTTCATGAGCGCTACCTGGGCCCTCTTGGTGGTTGTCAAGGCCACAGCTTGAATGACGGCACTGGCTAGGTTCCCATTGCTCTTCAAGACCTCCCTCATCAGGTCTCCAGAGAGGAGGGCTTTGGCACCCCTATTCCAGAGACAGGTTCCGAACCATCAGAAGTAGGGTGGCTAGTCCTGCTCTCTAACTCTCCCGCCTAAGTTCTGCTTGGGGACCTGCCTGTACGGTGGCCCAGGCACTCCCTCCTGGCCCAGCTCCATGTTAGCACGTCACCTGCACCTGTGTAGGTAAAGGAACACCCAGGGTCTCTATGACTCTGGTGAGGAACAGAGCTCCTCTGGGGACCCTGTACTGCCACCCTAAAGACCAGGCCTCTGAAAATTCCAGCCCCCTTGCCCCCTATAGCACCCTGCAGACCCATCTGACACTTGACCACATGCCAGAGCCCCCTGTCCTATCCTGTGTCACCGCAGACACCCCCACATGTGGCAAGATGGTCCATGGTCCTGTTGGTCTTCCTCCTAAATACAGCTGCAGAGTGTTAACATCAAGTCTCCATACCTGTCCTCACACGTCATGGTCCCGGTGGTGGGTGACGATCAGTAGATGCTGCTGCATTGAGACACTGCTGTGACCCTCTCCAACCCCTGGGAATTTCTGACTTCAGCACTGATGGGCAGAGGTAGAGTTTGTCAATTTCTGGATATGTGCTATATTTTACAAGATTAGAGAAATAAGGTATTTGCTGTGCACAATTGGGATACTACTGAACTATCAAGGGAAATGACGTTAAAAACACGTGCAGCCTTGAAAATAACTGTGTGAAACAAGTCAGTGACTGAGAGCCAAATACATTCTGGTCCCACTTTTATAAAGTAAGCAAACATGTTGTGAACTGTTGAGTCAGAATTGGCCCCATCGTTGACCCTCCGGCAGGTTTTCAGAGGCAGTAAATCACACGGGAGGAGATTCCTTTGCTCACTGTCCCATGGGAAAGGTGGTGGATTTGAACCACTCATCTTGGGCTTGGCAACACAGCTCCTTAGCACTAAACGACTAGAGCTCTAAGCAAGCATAGAAACCAAACTTGATAGTTAATAGGTGGAGGTGAGGGAGAGTTTTTATAAGAGGGCATTGAGTGCTTGTTGATGGTGATGGGCTGTTTTGGGAAAAGAGTGAGGAGGGTGGTGGCACAGGAGGCCATCAGTGAATGCCCCTGAGTGGTAAATGTGCACGCTGTA